CATGAACTTGCCAAGGCTGTTCTGGACGATCTCTACGCTGTGCTTTATTCCCAAGACGGTCGAGTTTTTTGGTACCATGCCTCCTTTCCTGACTTCGTTTTTGATCCAGCACGGTCAAACTTCACCTTGGACAAGGAGTACTTTGCATTTTCATGCAACGAACCTGCCCATCACAATCTTCTTGCCGAATCTTGCTTCCACATCATGAAGTTTGGTTCTGATAAGAAGTCTGATTCTGGTTTGCGATTCAACATGGGCAAAATACCGTCATCCTTCCTGTTCGACAGTGATAACGCCGCACTTGCTGAAGAGGTCAACAAAAACATTAGTGCTGCTCTGAGATACTCAGTCCGGCACTGGACTCACCACTTGCCCCAGTTGATCAAGACCGATAACCTTCGTGGCCTCATTTTGGATTTTCTCCAAATTCGTGTCCTGTTCTGGATTGAGGCCATGAACCTGCTTGGACTACGCAATCAATGCACTCCGATGCTTCAACGTGCACGTGAGTGGGCCTTGAAGGTATGAATTGTAAAGTTTGAGCCGTACTGCAACAACTAATGCTGTCAACTAGTGCGGGAACGATTTTTTAGAATTGGCGCGTGACATTGGTGAAGCTGCCAACTTCGCTACTTATTTCACTGGGAGCCCGGCTGCCAAATCGACGCCGCACCTGTACATCTCAGCGTTGGCAACATGGTCACGGAACACCAGTCTCTCTCGGAACTGGAAAAACCAATTCACTTGCATCCCTGCCTTTACACATACCAAAGGCGTTATTGACTTGCCATTGATGACCATATCAGCTGGAGCACCAATTACATCAGTCGCAATTTCAAGTGATGGGACACGGATTGTGTCTGGCTCGTATGACAAGTCTGTGCAGGTGTGGGATGCGTCGACAGGTGTGGAGCTGAAGAAGTTGAATGGCCATACTTCCCCGGTCACATCGGTCGCATTTTCAAGTGACGGGACACAGATTGTGTCTGGCTCGTGGGACATGTCTGTGCGGGTGTGGGATGCATCGACAGGTGTGGAGCTGAAGGTGCTGAAGGGCCATACTTTGTCGGTCAATTCTGTCGTGTTTTCAAGTGATGGGACACGAATTGCGTCTGGTTCGCGTGACAACTCTGTGCGGGTGTGGGATGCATCGATAGGTGTGGAGCTGAAGGCGCTGAAGGGCCACACTGAAGATATCAACTCGGTCGCATTTTCAAGCGATGGGACACGGATTGTGTCTGGCTCGAATGACTGCTCTGTGCGGGTGTGGAATGCATTGACAGGTGTGCAGCTCATGGAGCTACAGGGCCACACTAGCCATATCCAATCGGTCACATTTTCGAGCGATGGGGCACGCATTGTGTCTGGCTCGTATGACAACTCTGTTCGGGTGTGGAATGTGTCGACAGGTGCTGAGCTGAAGGAGTTGAATGGCCATACTCTCCCGGTCACTTTGGTCGCATTTTCAAGTGATGGGACACAAATTGTGTCTGGCTCGCG